TTTGGAAAAAGGGTGCCAGGCCGAAAACGGGATGCAGCCGAAACAGCAAAAGATAGACCAGGGATCGAGCCCTGGCGAAGTCCGTAACAGTGTGTGTGTGTGTGTGTGTGTGGGTGGGTGTGTCACCGTGTGTGCATCTTGTTCGTTCCCGTACCCGCATCTGACCATCCATCCATCGACACGCACTGAGTAAGCTCTCTCTCTCTCTCTCTCTCTCTCTCTCTCTCTCTCTCTCTCTCTCTCTCTCTCTCTCTCTCTCTCCACGCAGGCTAACCTGAAGAAAGAGAGGGACAAAAGCATGCAAACGACAACTCTCTGTGAAGACACGCACACGCTCTTTCTCCCTCTCTCATAAATGCGCTTGCAACTCATGCTCACACGGAATGGAGCAGCAGTACCAAAGAGGCATAACAAGGCACGCTGACAGCCAAGGAATTTTTCTCAGCTAAGCACAGCATTACCACCATCAGGATGATGATGATCCGGAGCAGCCCCCGTTGAATATAGTCCACCAGCACCACCACCGTTGGCAGAAATGGGAGGACGGTGATTACTTATTTTCTCGCAGAGAAGAGCGACGATTCGGAGTATCTTGGCTGAGAATCTGTTTGCCTTGATTATTGGATCACATGGACGACGATCGAGAAAAAATAAATAAAGGATTCGGTGGGCGATAGCTATATAATGTATATACACTATAATGATACAGTGATTGGCGATCACCCGGGACGTCATCTGATGGCCGATAGATATACAGTGATTGATGATCGCCCCGGACGTCATCTGTTCCCTTCGTATACTGACTCCCGTCTTCCTCCGAATAGAACGTACGGTCCTTACCGCTGTATCTTCACTGAAAGTTGCTTTAATACCGTGACAGTTATGATGACCGTACGTTCTATTCAGGGGAAGACGAGTCATCACTAAGCGACGTAGGGCGTCGCAGCACGGGACACGAAACGAAAAACGAAACGAGTGCATCTTCATGCAGAAAATGGCCAGGTTCATCGGTTTACTATAAATAGTAATGACTGTATTTTGCCACCTTTGGTGGGCAGATGCACTCGTTTCGTTTTCCTTTCGTGTGCCGTGCGGCGAGAACCGTATTCACGTTCGCCAATACGTTGCAGTCGGCCGCTGATGCGAAAGAGCACGTTCTTCTTCGCTTGGTGCTGCCCCTTTTAAGTTGGCCGTTCAACGACGTGGGCACCAAGTCTTGTGGACAATGCGAAAGAGCACGTCCGGAGTGTGTTGTCCTGTTCGATTACATACGCCTCCCCCCCCCCCTGCCCCCCCCCAAAAAAAAAAAAAAAAATGCATGCCTG